TAATGTCATCAATAGTTTGGAAACGGCGTTCTTTCAACAATGATTTTAGTTTCGGAAATAAGAAAAAATCGCAAGGAGCCAGGTCTGGCGAGCAGTAGAAAGAGTGAGGGAGGATAGTGATTTTTGCCACAAAACTGACGAATTGACAAAACTGAGCGCATTGTCATGGTGCAAGAACCATGATTTGTCTCGCCACATCTCTGGTCTTCTTTTGTGGATTTTTTCATGTAGCGTTGTAAAACGCCTTGATAGTACACAAGGGTCACTGTTTCACCTTGAGGCAAGAATTAAAAATTCACAATTCAGTTAAAATCGAAAAAAAAAACAGTGAGCATCACTTTGGCATTGGATCGAGACTGAGGTGCTTTCTGGGGGCGTGGAGATCCTTTGCCAATTCATTGTGATGATTGAACTTTTGTATCAATGCCATAGCCAACTTTCGTCTCCCGCTATGATGAATGAATGTTCCATCGTCATTGGATTGTTCAAGGAGTTGCTGACAAACGTCCACACGATTTTGTTTAAAACTTTTTTTTTTGAGAAAAAAATTATCAAAATCTCCAAATTGATGTACAAAAGTTCGATTAATTAAGGAATATTGACATAATTGCCATAAAATGCAATGCTTATCACTTTTTTGAACTTCTTTATGCTTAATTCTAAAAAATAATTAGCGTTTTAATAAATTTAGAATTCGATTAAATTCATATCGATCAATGTAACAACGGAGCGGAGGTTTATTAACACGAGCTACAGCAATCATCAATACGCAATTCAGTTGGTATCTGGATTCGACCGTGTCGAAGTGTTTTTTGCGCAACACTATTTCCTTTTCTTGAGGTGCATTCCAGCGAGTGCACGAAAATTGGATTCGAAAGTGTCGTGCGTGCATAGAAAATGGTGGCGGACATTTGAGCACATGTTTTATTTGTTTCATACTTATGCGTTTAAAAATTACTGAATTATGCTTTTTGGTAAGTACCTAAATTATTTTTAATACGTATGATTATTTGAATGACGTAAATTTTTGGGTACTTTAATTGCATATTTTTCAAATTCCTNGAGACTGAGGTGCTTTCTGGGGGCGTGGAGATCCTTTGCCAATTCATTGTGATGATTGAACTTTTGTATCAATGCCATAGCCAACTTTCGTCTCCCGCTATGATGAATGAATGTTCCATCGTCATTGGATTGTTCAAGGAGTTGCTGACAAACGTCCACAAGATTTTGTTTAAAACTTTTTTTTTTGAGAAAAAAATTATCAAAATCTGCAAATTGATGTACAAAAGTTCGATTAATGAAGGAATATTGACATAATTGCCATAAAATGCAATGTTTATCACTTTTTTGAACTTCTTTATGCTTAATTCTAAAAAATAATTAGCGTTTTAATAAATTTAGAATTCGATTAAATTCTTATCGATCAATGTAACAACGGAGCGGAGGTTTATTAACACGAGCTACAGCAATCATCAATACGCAATTCAGTTGGTATCTGGATTCGACCGTGTCAAGTGTTTTTTGCGTAACACTATTTCCATTTCTTGAGGTGCTTTCCAGCGAGTGCACGAAAATTGGATTCGAAAGTGTCGCGCATGCATAGAAAATGGTGGTGGACATTTTGAGCACATGTTTTATTTGTTTTATACTTATGCGTTTAAAAATTACTGAATTTTGCTTTTTGATAAGTACTTAAATTATTTTTAATACGTATGATTATTTGAATGACGTGAATTTTTGGGTACTTTAATTGTATATTTTTCAAATTCCTGATTTGATTAAAAGTTAAGTTCCAGTTTTAAAAGATTCTTAATTACTAAAATTCGAGCTAAAATTTAAGTACAAACTGTCTTCGTACTACAAAATCGATATATTTTATTTTATTTGTTTAAAAACTGGAAAATAATTGTCTTGAAATTTACTAAATGTTTCACAATAATAGCTGTTTACATTTTTTCCATAGGACAAGTCTGCCTTATGTACACGTGAATGCATCAGCAGGTTAAGCGCTGTTGTCACGTTGTGATGAAACTCCCCAATATTAATAGTCCCTGTATTTTGAAAACTGTTAATCTTACGACCATTGTAATATACAAGTTTTTTGTTCATTTATAATTACTCTATCTCATACTGAAGTAATGGCAATCAAACTTCTTACACCCTATATAATAAGTACATTGTTTAGGTGTATAAAAACTCTGATTAACCCAATTAAATGCTTATGTCAATAAAATTTGAATAATAATATAAACAAAAATCTATATGCCAACAACTCACCACATTGTCAATATACGTAAAAGTAAAATATTAGTATCTATGTACATTTTAGATTGTATCAATAATAATGGCAAACTAAAGTTATGGACTTCTCATAATGTTATCAAAATGTACATACTCGACACTTTTGTTATGAAATTGAAATACGAGATAATATAACATATGTTTCATCATTCAACTGAAACTGCGTCTACACGATTTTAATTAGCAAAGTGCCTACCAATTTGCAAAATTTCAAATTTCTGTAATTTTAAAGGATGTTCCTGATAAATTGTAGCTTATAGAACTTTGACTGCTCTGTGATACAAATTTTAGTACAATTAAACTTTAAACATTACCAGATATTATTTAGCTGTAAAGACAGTAAGTACTTAAAATGTCTCCTTGAATTTCTTTTCATAATTTATTTTGACTAATATGTTTTACTTTTTCCTTGTTCCTTGAAACTGCGAACGACATTGTTTATTAAAAATAGTAAATTAACACAAATTTAAGGCTATATTTTCTTCGTAGGGTGTTTCAGAAATGTAACTTGGCGGTTAGTAATTTTCCATAGAATAAATATTTTCGTTAGTTTGAAATGATTTATTTTATTTTGTGGTCTGCTATAAGTGTCACAATGTGTTTCCTTCATTGTTATTTGAGATAGAAATAATCAATTTTCTCAATCAATAACTCTAAATATTTTTTCACACTTTCCAATCGGGACCACGAAACAAATAAAAATTCTACTTAGAAAAATTATAGTAAGGTTCTGCTGGTGCCCATTTTTCTCGTTTTAAAATACTTTTTGGTAAAATAAAAATGTGTAGTTCAAAAACATGCTCAAGAAATGCAAAATAAAATAATAAAATAATAAAAAATTACTGTTGCAAGAATGAATTTTTCGATAATAATAATTGCTGATAATTTGTTTTTAAATGTTTAAAGAAATTCAAAAACTTACTAGACCATTCAATTGTACAAAAATAAAAAAGTGTATTGATTGTTTGACCCGTAACTTTATTTTTGAACCGTATTGCTATTGACATTTAAGCCGAATAATTTTGTGTACCGTTTGTGTACCGATGGATTTAAACAAGAGAGGCGAGTGGGCGTACAACTTCTGCACTGAAATTTAGTCCTCTTTTTTTTACTGGAAACATCAGCTTATTTATAGCTTTCTGTTGGATCGACCTCAAATCTCCTCCATGTTCATCGCAAATAATACAAGCAGGATCACCCATACTGCTAATCTCTAATACAATCAAATAAAGAAGTTAGTTCATAAATGTCTTTTGTTTATTAGGAAAAATTGCAAAAAATTCCGAATATCATAAAAGTTGTTTAAAATAAAAAAGGAAGTTTTTTTTATTTATTATTGATTCATTTACAGGAGCAACATAAGACCAGTCCAAATTTCACGCCAAATATTAATTTTTCCCACAGTTATGGTTATGTCAAAGAATCGACTAGCTGATCATTTTGAAATCTGTCGTATATTTTTGTAATTTTGAGTTCTGTACCTTTTCTATTTTAGATTTTTAATATTCTTAACTAATAACGTTGTTGCCGACAATTTTTTTTATTTATTAAAAAATCTTGCATGGAGGTTCTATTGGTTACATTAAGAATTCTTTAAATACTAGGGGGTGTTAAAGATTGTTCAACCTCATTAACATTCTCATAATGATTTCTTTTTCTCTAAACAAGGATAATGCTATTACTGAAGGATTTACTAAATGATTATACTGTATGTCTAGCAGTTTATCAGCTCTCTACCTTTCGCCGAACTTATTGGGGATGAGAGGTTGGTAGTATGAGAAATTGACAAAGGCCGCAGGAGATCAACCATATCAAACGCCGAATTGTATAACTAGTTAAATGTGGAGTATCTTAAGGCACACGGGCATAACGAGAAACGGGAATACTACACCTATAAGGGTTTTCTCGAGAGACATTCAGCCTGTAGCCGCAACACTGGCGGTCTTAATGAGAAACTGGATCAGGAAGGGAATATTAATTTTCTCCGATAAGTGAATATAGAGGATATTAAAGTTGGAAGCGTATAATTTAAAAAATATAGTGTATTCCTACGGAAGACTATCTTTTCGTACAAAGCGAGTTTTTCAAAAATCGACTAAACGAGTTACTATTTTAATTTTGACCTCAAATATGACGTCACAGCCTTACTAGGATTGCTAGATTTCCGGTTTTCTGTCTGGACTAAGGAGCAAATTCTCCGACCGAAACGAAAGGAACAAAAGGTATTTCAACTTTTTGTTCGTTTGTACCCTAACATGACATCGAATAAGACGCATTGTATATTAAAAATGAGGGGCATATTTTTATATTAACTTTATATATATTTTTAATGTGCTCCATTGAAGATTAAATACTTTTTTATTTCACATTTACAAAAAAAAAAAAAATTCTCAGAAATGAATCGAAGAGAGTTTTAAGAGAAAACATTATTGCATTGAAGAAATTTAATTCAAGTTCCCGTATAAATTTTTTTGGAGGAGGGTTTTTGCAACTAATGCCCTATTTTAGTGATTTTTTAATCTGGGTGGATTTTTTGACTTCCAGGTGGTGTACCAATTTTATCGTAGCACTAAATTATTCATTATTATCTATTTATCCTACAGTAGGTACAAGGTATATAAACATTTCATGTAAGATTAGCTCAATGATTAATAATTGCGGGGGATTAACTCTAATATGGGGAGAACCAATATTTTTACCGAGCACCTCTTGAATTGCCTGCAGTGCTGGAACTTTTGTCTCCCATTCGTCGCCAAAGTAGTAAACGGAATATACGGACGCCTCCCTCATCACGCCAATCTTAACGGATGCTTGAGAATGTGGACGTCGCGCTGGCTAGTTGTTCTCCATCGGAGGCGAGGTACGTTACTACTAATTATACACTAATTATGTTATGTAGGCACTTCGCACTTCACACTCTACCTTAATTAGTACTGGATTTGAGATCTCTGGAGAGTACCTGAAACTATGGAAGATTCTAGGAGCTTGTGAAGGCCTCCTGTGAGTAGGTATGGTTTTGGAAACTTCTAGGAGCTTGATGTACCTCATAGGATCTTCACTGCGGGACTGGACAATGCCTGGGTGGTTAGGGCTCTAAAACTTATGTCAAGACAGGTAGTAATGTCTTCGAATTTTGTGAAACTTTTTGTCAATGTTTTGAACTAAAAAAAACGGATTATTGATAAATTATGTATTTGCAAAAAATAAATATATGAATCTTAAAGAGTGTGACGGGCTTGTTTGGTATTTTCGTCGTTCGTCACTATGACGCCTGAGCGGCGGTAGTTTCCTCGGGCGCCAGTTTCTGTTTAAAGTGCAGAAACACCACTACGCGGGCGGCTGCAGTGAAGACACGGTATGTCCAGAGGGTCGAGAGAGAGTTAGACTTCACACAGGAATAAAAGTCACACAGTTGGTATATATTTACATTTATTTAGTCCAATTCTACCTATTTACACTATGTTACTCTACATCTATTGCTAAACGGTGGCAAATGGCTATGGTTATATACAGGGGGTTACTACGAAGAATGGTGAAATAACGGTGCGGTGTTAAACGGTGACCTGACGAAAGCAATGCATACAGAATTAGCGGCACTAGTAAAACAAGCGTGAATATGACGGCGTGCAGATACCAGGGGGCGGGGTGAGGAAGCAACAAAGCTAGCAAGAGCTAAAAGCTATATATACACTACAGGCTTGGCTACTATCTCTAAAATAAACAGAAATACAATTAAAGAATAATAGGTTTCCTTGGCACTGGTATGCGGCTGGCAGGCTGAAACAGACAAAAATGATTAGCGCCGACCTGCGTTTCAACTCATAGAGCGGATAGGAGGGGGAAGCAACACCCTATGACCTGAACGCGCAGCGGGGTCAAGTACACCGGATAATGGCAACAGTGCACCCAACCACGGAGTCGGACGGACGAAGAACAGTATGGTTAATGACGACCTGCGTTTCGACTCATAGAGCGGATGGGGGGGAAGCAACACCCTATGACCCGAACGCGCAGCGCGGCTAAGTACACCGGATTATTGCAACAGTGCACCCAGTCACGAAGTCATACAGACAGATCTGCAAGAGAAATATATGGCTCACAGAGCGGATAGGAAGGGGGAAGCAACACCCTATGACCTGAACGCGCAGCGGGGCTAAGTACACCGGATAATTGCAACAGTGTACCCAACTACGGAGTCGGCTAGACGGATCTCTGAAAAGAAATATAATTAAGAACGACCTGCGTTTCGACTCATAGAGCGGATAGGAGGGGGGAGCGACACTCTATGACCCGAACGCGCAGCGGGGCTAAGTACACCGGATAATTGCAACAGTGCACCCAGCCACGGAGTCGTACGGACGGATATCTGGAAATACAAAGTATGATTAGTACAAACGGACAGTAGCCAAGTCTTTTACCTATATTCCCTAAACCTTTAACTTACTTCCTTCCCTCGACACGTCTGTACTGTAGGAGCGGTAGAACGGAACTAATTCTGCAGTGCAAATACCTCGCCAGGTCTCTTGTCACCTCAAGAGACTTGCGCGTTGGAGATGCGCGGAACCTAACTTACTTCCTTGATGGTCGGATTGGACGGCCTCTGGTGATGACAGGAGATGGAGTGGTTTCTGGCGGCTGCGCGGTTCTGCCAGGCTGGACTTAGCAGAATCTCACCAATTCCTATTGGTGACGTAGTTGGTGCTGGAACGGCTCGACTGGTTGCGACGGCGGCTAGCAGGGAACTGAATTTCCAAATTCAGCTTCTTTCCTAAGTTCCTTGTCTGGGAACGGGCGGCTGCGCGGTGCTGTCAGGCTGGACTTGTAAAATTTTACCTACTTCCCGCGGTGACGTCTCGGCTTGCTGGAGTTGTTCTCAGGCTCGACTGGTCGCTTCGGTGGCTCGTGAGGAACTGAATCTCGGACGGCAGCTTGTTTGCTGTATTCGTACGGCGGATCCTGGCGGCTGCGCAGTTTTCCTCAGGCAGGACTTAGTGAAATTCTTACCAATTTCTTACTGGTGACGTAGGTCTTACTTGGAACGGCTGACGGCTCGACTGGACTCTACGATGCCTCGTGGTGAACTGTTTCTCTGACGGAGGCTTAATTCCTAAGCCCTGGCGATGTTTCGGTAGCGGCTGCGTAGTTCGCCTAAGCGGGACTTGTAAAATTCTTACTCAGGCGATGACGTATTGCTGGCTGGACGGCAGGCTGGAGCTCGGCACGACTGTTCCCTACGCTGGCAGGTCCAAGACTGGCGTACGTGGTGTGAATTTTCAGGCCATCGGCTTGACGCTGTGCGGTGACGGACGGCGTTGGAAATGCCAATAACAATGCCGGTGCGGTAAATTATATTTATTAATAGAATTTAATGAAAAGAAATCAAATGTGGGGTGTGGGAAAATCACTTTGTTACAAGAGCTAATGACTTAGTTTTAAGTTTTGAATAATACTCCAGGGTTGACGTTCAATCACAGTCATTGATGGGTCCGCAGAGGTCCTATTGTGAAGTCCACCTTAGGTCTAGACAATTGACTTCTCTGGATTTTGTCTGGAATTTGAAGTTCTCCAGTTCGAATCTTGCAAATCCAAAACTGCTGTCGCTCTGGTGTATGGAGATGGTTAGGAGATTTTTGAGAACTTCAGCGGAAATTTTGGAAACCTAGTCGAAAATTTTTTGCGCCCCGCCTTCTGCTTCTCGTGGAGTAGTTTAGATTCCTTCGGATCTAGATCTCTACTTTGGCCATAATTAATTGACCCTGTGTAGAGTGATTGCAGATAGCTTTGCAATTTCGATTGAAAAAATGAGCGTAAATTTGAAATATGCTCGAACTTGGAATACATTATATTTAAACTCTAAATTAATTTGCATAAGTGTTCTAAACACTACTTTGGAGTTTGAGTAAATGTATAAAGAATTAATATTCAACTTGAGTTCAGTTTAAAATTTAAGTAAAATTGATTCAATCAGCTTTTTATTGTCATTTAATAAGACAGAAGATAATCATGATTTGTCGTCTAGGTTTATATTCGTATACTTGTAATGCGCAACACATTACGCAATAAAATGGACGGGTTTTAGGAACCCCAGATATGGAATACCAGAATTGAAACACAGATTGTGATTTATTACTTAAGAACCACTGAATATATAGATGTAAAAATTGGTACAGTCAGTTCAGTTAACTTATAGCACTTACTTTCATGTAAAATTTAAAATAAAACTAATCACTGACGCCCCAGTAAAGAGAAGCAATAATTGTCTTTTATTTATGGTCTGCTGCTCATAAGCTCCCAATGCTATTTTGGCTTTTGGAGTGAGAAAAAAATTTGATAGGTACAAAAATTTAACTGGAAATAATTTTCGTTAACTATCAAAACCTCTTAGAACCCTCCTAGTCCTGATGTGCAGTGTACCAAATTTTAAGTTTATATTTTCAATAGTTTTAGATTAGGTAGTTGATTAGGAACTACTCGTACATTTCATTTCTTATCTTTGATCTACAGTACCTACTACTAGAGTACTACTACTACCTACTACTAGAGTACTTACCATTTTATGAAGACTGTTATTATACCTATATTAATACGTCTCAATAGCATTGAAGTAAAATGTATTTTAACTTTATTACAAAGGCATTAAGGTAATAAATAAAAAAATCCTAAAGAAATCTTATCAAATGAAGTCATTGTTCCTCCATACCAGGAATCTAGATTTGAAAAAATATCTAACCTCAGAGACATGCATAAATAAAGTAAAAGTACAAGACCTAATAATAATATTTATATATTTTTTAAGAAGTAAATATCCTCCCAATAAAAAAAGACCTGTGGATCACCATAATAAAGTGATTCTACAATAACCACTTGTATCGTCGAGAAAATTTCAACAAGTAATTTAACGCTTAAACGATGTAAAACTTTGTACAAACATAGATTGAAAAACTTACCAGCATGTAACGAATAGCCTTTTTAAATTGACAGTTTGATAAATGTAAGTTTTACCTATATAGAGGTACGAAGAAGAGAAAATAAGCAGAATATAATTATAATTAGGCAGAAATATATTCATCTCTATTAATAATAATAATAATAATCTTTATTTGCAAACATAAAATAATGAAAAATTAGAAAAACATTTAAAGAAATGCAAATCTCATAGTGTAGTTCAGATGGAAGACGCATGTCTTCCCCTATTCTTCCACTCAAACCATGAACATTTTTAGGGTGCTTCGTTTGAAAAGTACATTTCTCTTTTTTCACTCTATTGACGATATGTTGTTCTAAACATTGCAAAAAAAAATCTCAACAAATTTCAGTACTTAATTTTAATTTTTAGTACTCGCTATATCGATTTTAAGTAAATTTACGGTTTTTTAAGATTTATCTAATTATATCTCTTCGCGTTATTTTATTGTCCATAGGCGATAATTATAGAGGAACCTTCGTTCTTTCAAAGTGTCTATAGTAGGATCTATGTGACGTGAACGGTTTCACTGCTATAAAATCTTATTTTTTTTTTAAATTTTTATCGATTGTGCATTTTCCTCATAAATGACTTACAGCAAAAACGCAAAAGACATTTTTATAGGAAATTAAATTTGCTGTAAAAAGGGTCCTCAATGTCTAACAATAAGCTATAGAGTTATTAGTTCATAAAATAAACTGAATCAAATGTGTAAAAACTTAAAATATCCTTGCATTATCTCTATAGGATATTTAGAATTAAAAATTGAGTACAGTATTTAAAAAGACATGTAATCCACTACATGCTACTAAAATAACAGGGGTAT